TGACTTGAGCCTTTTACAGCTCATCATATTAATATGGCTTTACTTTATATACCTCATTTTTATACTTTTCTGTTGGATGGTTAAGACCAAGATAAAGCAAGACCTATATAGCAAGAAATGTAACTTTTGTATCTGATAAAGTCAGCCAAGTACCTTCAGGATTTAGCCTGTAGCCCTGTACCGCACTTTGTAGATCCTTTGTCAGTGTCAGCCTTGAGGATGAGTCACAGCCATTGCTTGACCAATCTGCTCTCTGTGAAAGCCTAGGAAATGTTTTTTCTCTCCATGTGACTCTCCCCAGGCACACTATACATCATCGATCACATTCCCCTGTGGCTCCATGATCTTCTTGATCAGAAAATTTGGAGCACAACTGAGTTACATGTTTTTACTGTACAGGTTCTCCTATGTCTCGAGCCTTCACTGACCTTGAAAGGCGAGGGCCAAAATGTTGGCTGACCTTACAGCCCTTCCTTTTCTCCAATTTTGATCTGCTAACTTAGTAGGCTGATAACCCTTCAGAAGAGAAGCTAATTATTAACCTGCAATATATGCAGTTTGGTTTACCCTGTCTAAATATTAAACATTTTTGGTATATCATGAAACAGGTATTTTCCATCAAATATTGATATGCTGAACTTTAAGTCCTTAGAGAATATGAAGGAAAAATAATTTTATAAAAGAAGAAATAAGCATTTACATATTTTTACAAAGAAATTTAGAAACCTAACCATTTACAGAATTGTAAAAGGACAGACCTGTGACATTTTCGGTGGCTTTAGAAGAGGTCTCATGATGGGTCTGTTGAAAAGAACACAAGGTAAAAAACCTTCCAGGCTACAAAGCTAATAGCTTATTCTAGCCAGAGCTGATTTTCTCCTTCCAGCCTTTTGTCTACCAAGGTCATTCCTGTCTCAAGGTGGGGCAATAAATTCTTAAGTGATTCTACTAGGCCAAAGGTTGCTTTCTTCAGTCATTAAAGATTTGCAGAGCAGTTGTAATTGTTAGAGGCAGCTGAATTAGATAAAAATATTACAGGCAGTCAGACACGGCCAGGCCCTCAAGGAGACAAGACGTAAGACAAGTGACTTTGTAATTGGGAAGAGACAGACACTCCAATTATTTTGAGGCCAGACCTTAAAACAAAAGAGGAAACATACAGCTACATACTTCCCTAGGGATAGGCATCAGGGAGTGATAGTCTAAATAGCTATCAGTCACCTTGAAAAAGCCCAAATGAGTCACTAACCCAACCCCTCAACAGGAAGAGACCCTGTTCCATATTCTTGCCCACTTGCTATTGTGACTTACTTCCTCATTTGGTACTGAATTTAATCAATTTTACCTGAGCAATGGTGCTTGTAATGTCATTGTTGGCCATAGTTTTTTGGTTGTTTTTTTTTTTGGCAGAACCAGGAATTGAACTCAGGCCTTTGTGCTTGCCAGAGAAGTGCTTATTCCACTGAGCCGTCTCCCCAGCCCCTGTTGGCCATAGTTTTGTCCCACCTAAGCAAGTTCCCATGTTCTCCACCACCTTAGACACTCACTGCATGATTTTGCACTATAAAAGTCCTTGGAAGAGACAGCTTCCTGGAGACTACCTGCTCCGGGTCCTCCTTCTGTCCCTCTCTTGTACAGGAGCTTTCTTTCCCCCTATAAATATGTTCTGCTCCTAACCTCTTTTTTCCTAAAATTCATTCTTTGGTTTTAGAGAACATAAGCTCGTCCCAGATACTTTTCAGGTTAGGAGTTTCATTTTTCCCCTATATCATTTGGAGCTCACCCACTCAAGATCAGTTTTTCCCCATGTCATTATGACCTCTATCTAGATTTCCCCTCAAAGTCTCATGAACTCCTGGGTGGGGTTCTAAAAGGTGATTGGATTTTGGGGGTGCTAGACTAAACATAGTACTAGGACGTGGGGCCTGTTCTGAAGAGGGACATTACATGGCTTGTGACCTGGAAAGGCGTGCTGGCTCCTTCGGCTTCCTGGCTGCCCCGAGGTGAGCAGCTTTTTACGCTGGGCCCTTCCACCGAGTGGTTTCTGTGTTTGAGCTTGCAAAACATGCACTGAGCCTAAGGAAGCCTCTCCTACTGTATGTTGCAGGTGTTGGAAAATTGGTCCCAGCAACAAGGAAAGTGACTAAGACGGGCCTTACAAACAGTGTGGTGTCAGTTAAGTGAGGAGATTCTTTATTTCTATCCATACAACTGAGACAGTAGCAAGCATTTATTGGACTATGATTACATGTAAAAGTCTGCAATCATCTTGCAGCTAGTATAAAAGGAAGGTGCCACAGGGACGTAGTACTCAAATTAATCCAAGCATCAGCCCCAAGAACTGCCAATGGGATTTCACTGTGGCCACCACTGACAGAAAAATGAATGCAAAATGGAGAGAAAAAAGAAGGAAAAAGGGCACGAGGTAGAGACAGGAGGGCTTTTGTAGAACACTGCTTACTCTGAAATTGTAACTGAACCATGGGTTTTGTAGTCCACGATGAATACAGGGCCTTCACCATTCAGAGAGGTAGTCTTCTGAGTCGAGGGACTGTTGCAAGTTGGAGTACGACAGAGAAGGTGCAGGTGGCTGAGACTGCAGAGGAGCAGTGAGCACACCTAGGAGTGGGTTTAGGGGCTCAGAGTGGCAGCAAGGACCAAAGTGGAGTCTTGTGCAAAAGCAGAACCACTCTGGAGTGAAAGAACTGAAATTCTGTATAGCAGAGGGTGCAGTGTGGGGTTCAGGCATGACACGCATTGCATTAGTAAATCATGCTTTAGTTATCTGTTGAAGGAATACAGATCACATAGGAGGAAAAAAAAAAACCCCATAAGTCCCTCTTTCTTTTCTTTTTTTTTTTAATTTTATTTATTTATTTGTGTGTGTGTGTGTGTGTGTGGCCAGCTCAGCCCACCAGGGGGCGGGGCTGGCCGGCATATGGTGCTGGGGGATTGAACTGCAGTCCCTCTGTTTTGCTAAGCTTGTTCTAAGTAGGGGCTTTAGACCACTGAGCCATCTCACCAGCCCCAGTCCCTCTTTCTTGAAAGAACTGTTGTTATTATTTGGCTTTTTTTTTTTTTTTAATTTGGCTTTTTGAGCATGGGTCTCATTTCGCAGTTTAGGCTGGCCTTATGGTCTCAAACTTGCAATGATCCTCCTGCCTCAGCCTCCCAAGTGCTGGGATTACAGGCAAAGTGCCACCATGCCCGGCTTCAAAAGTATTTTCTAGAGCACACACGATAAGCGCAAACTCAGTAAATAAATGATCAAGGGAAGTTTTGTTCTGGAGATAAACCATGGGTAATATGATAAGATGTGGGTGGGAAACAGATAGGATGGTCTGAAGGACTTCTCTAAGGAGCAGTGTCCAGCAGATAAGAAGCAACTGGCAGTGCTGAGGGGAACAGTCAGGAAGGTAGGCCAGTTAGGGTGGCTTAAAGGCCTTAAGGGTGGAGGGAAAATCAGAGATTGGCCAAGACTCCATGAACTGTTCGGTAGTGTATGCTGAGAACCTTAAGTAGGAAATACTGCCTATAGGAAGTAGTAAACAAATAAATAAGTCACAGATTTATCTAGGGTGGCTTTCAACTTTATAGACCGACAATAGCAGGAGTTCAGATTTTTTTGTCTTGCCTCTTAGCCAGAACATTATGCTAATTTTTTAATTTGGCTTAAAACTGAGGATTTTTTTTTTTTTTTTTTTACCAGGGATTGAACTCAGGACCTTGCACTTGCCGAGAAAGTGCTTATTGTACTGAGCCATCTCCCTGGCCCAAAACTGAAGATTTGAATATGACTTCAAACAACTTTGCTGTGTAGTTTGGGGGCAGACAACAGACAACCCCAGGAGGCATAGTACATTATATTGAAAACAATCTAGATGATGAAGGGCAATAATAGAGGCTCTCACTGGGGCTTTGTGTGGTAAAGACTTTGTTCTGAAACAGGGTCTCACTATGTAGCCCAGGCTGGCTTTGAACTCATCTCGATCCTCCAGCCTCAGCTCCAGAGTGCTGAGATTACAGGTGTGCATCACTACACCTGGCAAAGCCATATACTTTTGAGGACCTCTAAGTGGTTAGAATTAATTTCCACGCTTGTACAATGACCCTCGCTCAGCTGGGGTCAAGCCTGTAATTCCAGCACTTTGGGACGTGAGAAGGATTACACATTTCAGCCCAGCCTGGGGACTTCTGGGAATCCCGTCTCAAAATACTATATGGGGGTGGGCATGTAGATTGGTGCTAAGGTCCTGGGTTCCATTTCCAGTACCACCCGAAATGGAATGGAACTAAACCGAACTCCCCATTCCTTACTACCCCACACAGCAGGAATCGTAAAGTCCAGGTCGTCTGCAGAATCAGGTTCTAGACTAAGCACGTCATACAGTACCCGTAAATTCAGGACATCTGATACAGGGGAGTCTGTACTTGGGATCGCAGCCCTACGGAAGTCTAGGGTGAACTTCAGAGAGCACCAGTTTTGCACACTTCCACGGGAAGTTATCTAGAGGAATCGCCAGTAAGAAGGCCGTGAAGATACAACTACCGCCTTGAGGACGCGCCCACAGACACGCTCTCATTGGTCGGAAAAGCGCAGGTCAAGCCTAATGCTCCTTTTTCAGATGCCTGAGGGGACACAGTCCCTGGAATTGAAATAACCGTAATGTAGCTGCCTAAGCCCCTGCCTGGTAAGCGCAAGGTCCCGAGTCAGATACCCGGTACCGCAAAAACAGAAAAAAGATAACTGTAGCGTAAACTTTGTTTCTCCGATAGGGAGTCGCGGCTGGCTTTGCTAGTCGGAGGGATATTTGTATTTCCGGCCGTGAGGCATTGTGGGGCTAGTAGTCCAGATTATGGAGCAACTACAGACCGTAATTTCCCCAGAACTACATTTCCCGGCAAGCTTCGCGCAGCTGTTGCGGACTGTGCGTAAGAGCGTTCAGACTTCCGGACGAGCCGGGGGCGGGACAGCACAGAGGCTGGAGTGAGGTGTCGGGATGCAGCGCCCCGGGCCCTTCAGCACCCTCTACGGGCGGGTCTTGGCCCCGCTGCCCGGGCGGGCCGGGGGCGCGGCCTCTGGCGGAGGCGGGAACATCTGGGGCCTCCCGGGCTCCCACGTGCAGCTGGCGGGGCGTGCACAGTCGGACTCAGTTGGCGGCACGGGAAGCTCTCGCGCCAGCGGCCGGGGCTCCAACAGCCTCCGCCCGGCTCGCTCCACGATGTCCAAGGCCGAGGAGGCCAAGAAGCTGGCGGGCCATGTGGCGGTGAAGAACCACGTGAGGGTGAGCGGCTCGGGGCGTGGGGGTTCGTGGTGCGCGCGCGGGGCTGTGCGGGGCGCGCCTCGCCCTCGGAGGGCGGGGGCCGAGCGCGCGCGGAGGGCGAGCGCTTGGCCGAGTTCCGGCCTCTCTTGTCGGCTGCTGGGAGACCGTCTGGATGTGGGATCGGCGGGAGCACGTCGCTTAACAGTCTTGCTTACCAGAAACTCCTTGTCTTTTGGAGCACTTTGCAGAGTGGAGTTCCGGCGGTGTCAGATGTTTGGAGTGGGGATTAGAGGCACTTGCTGCGTGGCCTCCTTGCCGTGGAATAGAAAATGGTGAGCCTTGGGGCTGGCCGGAGGTCTTTACGTCTTGTTGCGCTGGAAGGACGGCAGAGATCCGCGCTATAAAGTGCTTTAAAATTTCTCTCCAAGCTTGGCGCGCGCGGGTTCCCGAGTGTCCTGGCTGGAGGCCAGCAAAGGAAACCGCGGCTTTAAAACCGTCGCTGACAGCGCTAGGTGGGCACTTGACATTTGCAGGATGCCGGTCTTAAGGAGGAACTGCGGAGATGTTTAGAGACGTTTAGCAGTTACTCAGAGAGGTCGTGGCCCTACTTGTTTTGTTGAGTGACAGGTGTGGCACTGTTAGTGGCTGACTTCGTTTAACCCAAGTGTGTTTGCTGTCACCGATCAAGTTAATTATCTTAATTACAGCACCTCAGCGGAAGGAAGCCCAGTGGAGTGTTCCTGCCGTGTGGTGGAGTTTCCTGGCCTTGGTCACTTTTGTCCCAGTTTTCTATTTCTGAGGTAGTGGTATTAGTGTCTCCCTTTTCCTCCAGGCTTCTGTGCACAAAGTTACAAAGGAGACGTTCTCGGAGCTTCGCCGCAGCCTGGTGGTGAGGGAGGCGCCAGTGTGATAACCCTCGCGCGGCTCAGCCTGTTGTGTAGGAGGGCGGGCCGGAGCCATGCACTGTCCTGCCAGGGCCCTGCACGGGCTCCACGCCTGCTTTGTTCTGCTGAAGCTTTTGGCAGGGTCCAGGGAGGTCCCCCATGTGGATATGGGGAACCCAGACTCACCCTTCCCACAGAGTAAGTTAGCTGCCTCCTGTTGCAGATCAGAGTCAGGGCTAATCAGTGAGAGGCATGCAAGGGAAAGAAAAGTAGGCTCTGGGTAGTGTGGGTGTTCAGAGAAGGAAATGCATTTTAACTTGAGTACTAAGGGTGGGAATCTGGAATTTGCTAATCTATGGAAAGAAGGGGACTCAGTTTACAGATGAAAAGTGATGGCCTTGAGATTTGGGGGGGGGGTCTTCCTGAGATTATCTAGGATATATATTCTAGTGTCTCTTGGGTTTGCCCATTGGGGGCTGTGCTAAACCATTTACATGTGTGTGAAACTGAGACACACTGTGCTTTTAATAGTGAACTTCCTAAAATGGGAGTTGGTAGGCAGCACAATTACAGGCTTATTGTGTCCAAAGCCCTAGGATTTTTTTATTTTTTATTTTTTTTTGTTTCTGTCTTGAAGCTTCAGTTTTTCCTAAAAGTGCTATTTGAAAGTTACCAATTTTCCTTGTCTTTTCTGCCTATCTTTATTTCATTTATCCTAGGTCAGCTTGTTGCAACTCTAGTTAGCAATAGGACTTTCTATAGGAATTAAGAGATATAATATAAAATGTGTAATTTTGTGCCAAGTTTGGGATTCAGTGACAACAGCTATATTTATTTATGTATTTTGAGAGACGGTCTCTATGCAGTTCAAGCTGGTCTTGAATTCAAAAGGATCCTCCTGCGTCAGCCTCCTCAGTGCTGGGGGGTATGCTCCACCATGCCCAGCTTCATATGGCAGTAAAACTTAGACAATAAACTGGAATTTTAAAAGTACCTATGTACTTAAAAGTAAATTGTTGGGGTGGCCGGGGAGATAGCTCAGTGGAATAAGCATTTGCTTGGCAAGCTCAAGGGCCTGAGTTCAATCCCCAGTTCTGCCAAAAAAAAAGTGAATTTTTTTAGTTTTTCATGTATGTAGTACAGGATCTGCAGGATCTCACTACATAGATTGGACTCCTAGTGATTCTCTTGTTTTTAGCCTCCCAAGTCCTGGGATTATAGGCATGCACACCATGCCTAGTCTCAATCGCTGTCCAGCGCACCCTGGTGGCTGGGTCAGCATGGCATGCCAGGGATCCAAACTCCGGCTACTGTGCTCAGAACGTCTTAGTCTGCTGAGCTATCTGGCCGGCCTTGCGAAGTGTTAACAGATGGGTAAAACTATACAAACAGAAAGGTTCAAGATTAAAATGGTCCTGCTATCGTGTTTATATTAATATTTGGTGGCACATGTCTCCTTGACTTTTTTTTTTTTGCAGTACCAGGGATCAAACTCCGGCGACCTTGTGCTTGCCAGGCAGGCGCTTATGCTGTTGAGTCGTATCCCTGGCCCTCCTTGACCTTTTATAATCTTGAATTCCTCTTTTCAGGTGGGATTCCTTCCCAGACCCACTGGATTTC